GTTGAGGAAAACACCAAGGCTCAACAACTACGGGCAAGCAGATAAAGCGGCATTAGAGGAAGCCATTGCGTGTGCTCATCCAACATGGATAAGGCCATCAGTCAATGCAGTTCAAAGATTGAGGAGGCTGTCTCAATATTGGAAAATTTTCAACTGATTCGTACTCCTAAAAAATAGCCTGTTTTTCAACATTTCTCTCCACATTTTTCTTTCAATTGGTCTGTAATATATCTCATACTTATTGTTAGACTGGTTGATTAGTTAAATCTCAGTACCTTTTTCTCTCTATTATTATCTTTTTGCTGATGACAAAAAGGGGGAGAAATTATGTGAAATTATGTGCAGATTTGCAGGTTATATTCAAAGGAAGAAAGATACAGATATCAACAGAGTTTGCTCTTTCAATCTGTGTTTCATGAGCTTAATATGTTTATTCATTTTCAAAATAATTCAAACTGCAAGAAAGTTTTGTCACCATCAAAAAGGGGGAGATTGTTGAGGAAAACTCCTATTGATTTTGAAGATGACAAAACCTTCTATGTTATTGTAAATCTGATACTTATTCTGAACAATTTTATTCCAGGTCTGTATATTCTGGAAGCTCAGAAGAAAGTTATTCAGACTTTACAAATTGTCAAGTATGTTTTTGAAGACCCACATAATCGAAGTTCTGAGATTCAGACGCAGAAGTTATTCAAATGCAGATGCAGACGAAGAAATTATTCAGACGCAGAAATTCTTCAGACGCAGACGCAGAATTTCTTCAGACGCAGAATTCAGAACATAACACAATAGCTAGTGATCTGGCATGGATTTCACAGAAGGAATGTTCTGATTGTCTCAATCTTAATCAAATTGATTGACAATCAAACATCACAACATGAATGCATTACAACGGACATATCTCTACTTATGGAAACCAAGATTCTGATTGTATGGGCGACCAGAATCAGCGGGATTCAGAATCTGTTATCCAACGGCTACTCAATCCTTTCTATACAAATCTGTCCAATGTGAAGATTGGAAGATGATCCTCTGAAAGCTGTCCAACGGCTAGTTTGGAAGTAGAGGAGTATTTAAGGAGATCAACGAGCAGCAGAAGGAAGTACAGAATCAAGAATCATCAAGTCCAAAGTCTGAGTATACTCCAAATTTTTCTCTTGTCGTTCTGAGCAAAACATTAAGATCTTGAGGGACACTTTGTAAGAGTGATTGTGTGAGATAGAGAGTCCTATCATACACAAGAGTGTTAACACTCAGAAGTTGTAATTCCTCTTGATTACATAGTGAAATCCAGCCGGTAGGCTGTAAGCGTGGGAGAGTGGACGTAGGCTTGCTATAAGCCGAACCACTATAAACTTGTGTGCAGATTCTCTATCCCTTATCTCTTACTTTACATTCTGCACAACAAGAGCACCATCTATATAATCTGTCTTGAATCTGAATTTTATTCAGACTCTTCTGTGATTTACTTTGTTTTCGCATAAATTATTAAAATTATTTTAGATCACCTATTCACCCCCCTCTAGGTAATCCTTGCTAGCTACATCAGTAAGCAGGAGATGTACGGGAGAAATCAATGAATGAAACTGCCATATAGTTGATAGCAAACATTAAACAAGCTATGGTAGTTAATTTCTAAGCTAAAGGAGGCAATTGAGATGAGCAAAATTGTGGAACAGAGACCCTACTGCAACCGCAACCTCATCCTTTTCTCCATATTCTTCTCGACTGTCTTCGGCAATTTATCAACCGCTCTATCCTTCGCCTTTCTGCTTTTCATAAACTCAGAGAAGGAAGGATTAGTGGCAACCTTGCAGCAGCAGAACTTTGCACTGACGAAACACAAGGAGGATTCTCCAAGCTGATGATACTAGGAATTCTTCATTTATGACCTCCGTTATTATTTGATTCAGTGAAGATGAAGCTGAACCTGAAGATTCTTGTTTAGGTGGCATATTCTCCGAACGCGAGTCATCACTGACTCTCAGCCGATTTGTCACATCCGTAGAATTGGTTGTTGAGAGCTACCTTACTGTGTTTGCCACTTGGGAAAGATAGAACAACTTCCTGCTCTTTCCATATTTTTTGCAGCACTCGTTCTCAAGGTTTGGCATCAGCAGAAAGAAGAACAACATTACTCACTTGTCAGTATTACTACAGACTACGGCCAAATCCCCTTGAACATAAAAAGACGGATACTATGACCTACCTTTCTAACTAAGCCTTTCTTCTGGTCGTAGGTTTCCTCGGCATGCTCCCAAAAATCAATCCTCTCATTTACTCCTGTTGAATTCTTAGCCGGCAAACATGGGCAGTCGATAAGGTGATTTGTAGTTGCTGATAGGAGACATACGAAAAATTATAAAGTGTTGAGCCTTGAGATGTCGGTAAGTGAAACTCGCTCGACAAAAGAATTAAACTTGGTAGTGAATATCGATGAATCAAAGTCACGAGGCCAGCAATTTTGGCCACAATCATAATGGCCCATTCAATCATGAAGCCGATCCAATCACTAGTTCGTAAAACCGTGAATCTTGAAAGCCACTAATGATAGTGGCCGAGAAACAACGGCCATTATAATTGTTAGGAAGAGGGGTTGCAAGCTACGGAAGAAATCGTCTACGTGAGGCAAGTGATGAGGCCATAATTGTTGAGGTAAATATATGTTGCTAAATTCTAAGAGTCACGTATGATGTTATTTACTTTTTTGTGATTGTTTTTAACCGTCATTAGTGTTTATAATATTATGTGAGTTTCATATAAAAATTGAGACCCAACTCAACTAAAAGTTGGTAATGCAAAATTAATTTGTCACTTAATGGGACAAAAGTTCGTAATCACTATGACTAAAGTTGGTTAATTCCAAAAGGAGTTGGCAAATTTAAAAGATAGAGAGCGATGCAAATAAACATGGTAATTAAGTTGAAAATTTGGTAACTTTTAAAATAAATCAAATAAGCATTAGAAATCAACTCATATTAAAGTTAACAACCCAAGACCAATTGGTAACTTAATTAGAGAAAAGTTGGTAAGTTATTAAAATATAGATTGGTAATTTTAAAAAATTCAAATAAATGCTAGGAACTAATTGAATTAACATTACGTGAGTTTCATATAAAAATTGAGACCCAACTCAACTAAAAGTTGGTAACACAAAATTAATTTGTAACTTAATGGGACAAAAGTTCGTAATCACTCTGACTAAAGTTGGTCAATTCCAAAAGGAGTTGGTAAATTTAAAAGATAGAGAGCGACACAAATAAACATGGTAATTAAGTAGAAAATTTGGTAACTTTTAAAATAAATCAAATAAGCATTAGAAATCAACTCATATTAAAGTTAACAACCCAAGACTAATTGGTAACTTAATTAGAGAAAAGTTGGTAAGTTATTAAAATATAGATTGGTAATTTTAAAAAATTCAAATAAATGCTAGGAACTAATTGAATTAACATTACGTGAGTTTCATATAAACATTGAGACCCAGCTCAACTAAAAGTTGGTAACGCAAAATTAATTTGTAACTTAATGGGACAAAAGTTCGTAATCACTCTGACTAAAGTTGGTCAATTCCAAAAGGAGTTGGTAAATTTAAAAGATAGAGAGCGACGCAAATAAACATGGTAATTAAGTATAAAATTTGGTAACTTTTAAAATAAATCAAATAAGCATTAGAAATCAACTCATATTAAAGTTGACAACCCAAGACCAATTGGTAACTTAATTAGAGAAAAGTTGGTAAGTTATTAAAATATAGATTGGTAATTTTAAAAAAGTCAAATAAATGCTAGGAACTAATTGAATTAACATTACGTGAGTTTCATATAAACATTGAGACCCAACTCAACTAAAAGTTGGTAACGCAAAATTAATTTGTAACTTAATGGACAAAAGTTCGTAATCACTCTGACTAAAGTTGGTCAATTCCAAAAGGAGTTGGTAAATTTAAAAGATAGAGAGCGACGCAAATAAACATGGTAATTAAGTAGAAAATTTGGTAACTTTTAAAATAAATCAAATAAGCATTAGATATCAACTCATATTAAAGTTAACAACCCAAGACTAATTGGTAACTTAATTAGAGAAAAGTTGGTAAGTTATTAAAATATAGATTGGTAATTTTAAAAAATTCAAATAAATGCTAGGAACTAATTCAATTAAAAATTGGTAGCGAAAAATTAGTTGTTAACTTAATCAGAAAAAAATTGTTAAACCCTGATTGTTGTCAGTAATCTCTATTTGTAATTTAACTAGTTCTTAAGCAAGACAAATTAAAATTGGTAGCCTCATAGAAAAGTCGGTAAATTAAAAAGAAAAAAAACTAATAAGAATTTCAAATGAGAGTTGGTAAATCAAACTAGTTAGTAATCTAGCGGGAGAAAAATTGGTAAATTATACAAATAATCATTTGTGATTTTGCATGAGAGATAATAAATTAAAGACGTTTGTTAGAAAGACAAATATAATTTGGTAAAACACAACAAAACTTCATAAATAAAAGGAGAAATGACACAAACAGTTTCTGAACTTTGGCTCAACGTGCAATTTGGTCCATGAATTTTTAATTTGTTCAATATAGTCCATGGGCTTTAATCCAATATTCAATGTGGTCCCTGAACTTTTAATTTGTTCAATATGGTCCCTGGACTTTTGTTTCCCTAAATAAAAAAACCAAACAAATGTTCGTAAGAACCTCAAATGATCAAAGTCGATGATTCAAAATGAGATGGTGATTTAATATAAGTAAGATAAAAAGGATACATGAGCATATAAATAGGCTTTATTATATGACTATCTAAGATAACATATCAATCAAGATATAAACACTTAAATGAAGGTTTATACACAATCTTAAAAGATACGGAGAATTAATAGAATTATCAAAATATCTTTAATATAGAAAATTATCTTAGTGAAATCCTCAGTTATCTCTAACAATAAATATTTCTTCTTCTCTTGATGAAAATTGTGCTTTGTCAACATCATGTAGTCAGTTCCAAAGTTCTTTTCTTGCACTCGGCTAAAACGCATCTTATCCATTGCCGGCTCTCTGTCAAAATAAGTACAGGAATATAATCTCGTCAAAAACTTATCTTCTTCTAGGTTTCATCCTTGTCTCTCTTTCACTCTATAACAATGGCTCTTCTTGGCTTCTTGAGCCGCTTTTTGCCGCCATTCTCGGGCTTCGTCTTCACTTGTGTCCTCGCTGTAGTGCTCCAGATCTTCATCTTTTCGCCGATATCTCCCAACTTGCTCCATTTACCGGAACCATCGTCCCTAACTTCTCTTCCCACAAACACCATCTTGCAGGTGCTTGGAAAAGCTTCATCATACAGCAGGCTCGAACTATCATTTCTTCGATTTCTCGGTTCTTCATTTATGCGAAAAGCTTTTTGGGTTCACGCAGGGTGTGGGTAAACTTGGAGAGGGCATAGTGAAAGATCCAGAAGACTTATTGGTAGACGAAAATGGGGTGCTCTACACGGCGACCAGAGATGGTTGGATCAAGAGGTTGCACCGAGATGGGTCCTGGGAAAACTGGACCATGTTGAACAGTGAGACACTTCTGGGGATTACAGCAACTAGGAGAGGTGGCATCATTGTGTGTGATTCTGAAAAGGTGTGCTTGATAAGACATAAGAGATGATAATCTTGGTTTATGAAGAAATCAATTGCGAAGTGCTTATGTGTAAGCTCTCGGTGATGTGATTTGGCCAGGGTCTGCTTTGGGTTGATGAAGACGGTCATGCGATGGTCCTCTTATCACATGTTAATGGATCTGAATTAAGGTAATGTTTTTTTTAATCATTTAGATCACCAGTAGTTCTTTTTCTATTTCAATTTATATCTCCGACACTCTCATAGGGCATGACAGTTCTCCCGTTCCACACGCACCAATAATTTTCAATAATACACAAATCTGCTCTCTCGCGACGAGCGAGGTACTACCAATAAGTTAGTACTCATTTATTTTTTCAGTTTTGAGGGGGAAAATTATATAACATGCAAAATAATCTAGTTTCAAGATGATTATGGATATTTTAGATGAAAATGCATCTATTTAGACTACGATTTTTTTTTTCAAACAATTGTTGGTATGTTCATCTAAAATTTGTGACAATGGTGGTCTTAGCTTAATGTTGTAGATGGAGGGAAGAAGATGAGAAAGAAATAAGGAACGATTACTGAATTAAAGCTTAAAATCACAAAAACCTGATAGCGTCCATCATCTAAAGGGATGAATTTACTCTTAACCTTGCTAGAGTCAATAACGCACTCATGTTATTAAGATGAGTCTAGAGATAATTTTGTATTTGCAACAAATCTTTGGACTTCTCTCTTATTTTGCGACTGACTAGCCATATTTTCAAGAGATTTGGCATGTTAGGGAGCAGTAGGGAGTTTGTGGTTCCACGAGAAACATGTGTACACTTCAGTAAATGATATCTCAAAATTTCCTTAGAATAGTATACTTGAGAGTTAGACTCACGATGTCATGCGTACAAGTTAGTTCAAGATAACACTTTATGATCACAAAAATGTAGACTAGTTAGATTATTTCATTTTTTGTAGATTTCCACCATAGAATAGTTTTTCAACATGCATGTCACCTGACTTAACATGTCACGTCAGCGATATGCGACGAGTTAGACTATGTTGCATGTACTTATTACGTCCTGGCTTCGTAAGCCTAAGGATGACTAGTCCAACTAAGAAAATTCCCGTACTAAGACCCTCCGATTCTCTAACTTGCCATTACCTAGGGAATTTGTAACACCATCCAAGGTCACTAGTCAATACGCAAATCAAGCTCCATCATAGAGAAAGCTATAGACATTAAACGTGACAGCTTAAAGATAAGCCATGGGTAAACATTTGCGAATTAGTCAAAAGAAGAAAACTTAGAAGAGTGGCAGCTTTTCCTTGCTGTGATGCGCCATGTGTGGCTGATGCTTTAGGGTATCTTTCTCTTTTCTTCCTCACTTTGTCATTGACAAGGACGAATGATGGGTCTTTGACACTTTGTTCGTTAGCATCCAGACAAAAACACAAATGTTGCAGTCGTGTCAGTCGTTCTTTTCTTGATCGATTTGCGTGATCCTGAGATTTTTCTCGACCTCCTCCTCACAAAGAGAAGTCGAGAAGGGACCATGGTGCGTGAAGAAACGCACGATGCTATACGTCATTGTCTATTGAACTCTTTCTACTTGAACTAATTTCAATTATAGGTTTGAGAAGTTTGGAAAGTTAATAAGGACACGAAGGAGTTGAGCTCTATTTATTTGAATTTTGGCTAGCATGTTATTTGATACGTAAGATTAGCAGGTATTCTTATGAATAAGCTCGTGGGATTTCACTCGATAAATGATTTGCTTCACCATGAAAAAAGAAAAAAAAAGGGCTGAGTTCGCAATTAAGATAACACTATATTTTTTATCAAATCCAAAAAAGAAAAGAAAAGAAAAAATAGTAGGGGGTTTGTGAGATTAGATTTTCTTATCCTCGTATTCCTACAACAATAATGTTAAATATATCAAGAAAGTTTAATAGGTCATAAGTTACTTGCTTATATGCTAAATTAGTGTGATTATTTAGTAGACTAATTCCCAGAATATTACGTGTATGTGATGTTGCTATCTCTATAAATACTGCATAATATGCTAGATGGTGCGAAATCATTAAACACTAGCAATTAGACCTGATCCCGGCCAAACACGAACCGCACCTTGGGTAAAAATTATTTGCCCTAATGATTTGGGTTTGATATGTTTGGGCAACATTGGTAGATCAAATGCAATTACAATCATCTTGGTGGGTCGAGCATGGCACCAAATACCATCAAGTCCGGCCAGAAATCGGCTAGGTTGGAGGCTCTTGGGGGACTTGGGCCCATGAGATCGCCAGCCTCATGAATATGTCTACCTAACAATAGCATAGTCAGTGAAGTAGTTTATCTCATAGCACACAAACTGACATAAGAAAGCACAAGGAGCAATTTTATCACAAAACCATAAAAAATTCATGTTTTTACTATGATTGCTACATATAGATTCGCCGACGACGTCATTGAAGCATCGGATGGGAGTCTATACTTCAGCGTAGCCAGCACCAAGTTCGACCTCCACAATTGGTACTTGGATGTCCTCGAGGCGAAACCTCATGGCCAGCTTCTCAAATTCAACCCTTCATTGTCGCAAACTTCTATCGTTATTGACGACTTGGGCTTCGCCAATGGCGTGGCTCTATCTAGGGACGAAGATTTTCTCATCGTCTGTGAAACTTGGAAGTGAGTATATCCACTGATGCGCAATTTATAGAACTCATACATTGGAATTCCTCTTTAAAATAAAGCATCTTAGTGCAGTTTCGGAGAGAAAAAGGGAGAAACGTGGTGCAATTTTGCTTACGCGCATGTGTGTGTTTCACAGATTTAGGTGTTTGAAGCATTGGCTAAAGGGAGATGAAGCAGGGAAAACGGAGATTTTCATCGACAATCTTCCGGGCGGACCTGACAACATCAATCTTGCCCCGGATGGATCTTTCTGGATTGCCCTACTGCAGGTATATTCGCAACATAGTTACCAAAACTCTAAACCCAAAGTGATTGCGAGGGTATCGGCTTCTTTTGAATCGTGTTTTTGGGATGCTCTATCACTGCTCTTTGCAAATTGGTGCAGTTGACATCTGAAGGGTGGGAGTTTGTGCACGCCTCCAAGGCAGCCAAGCGCTTTATAGCAACATACCCAAGTATGATCAAGAAAGTGAAGGGAGTGCACAGAAAAGCAAGTGTTTTGCATGTGGGAGCTGATGGCAAAATAATCAAGAAGCTTGATGATCCGGATGGGAAAGTCAACTCCTTTGTTACCTCAGCAGTTGAGTTTGAGGGTCATCTTTACCTGGGAAGCCTCAACGCCAACTTCATTGGAAAATTGCCCCTCATCTGATGATGTTGCCAATGTAACGTTCACTACAATTGGCATTTCATGTAATACCAGTTCGCAAGGGGAGTATTTCACATGGGAGGCAGTTGAGCTTACATGTATCATAGCATCATTTGCTTCACCAGCTCCGAATTGCGAAACTTCGATGCTTCCAAGAGAGAGATTCAATAACAATGTCAAAGATATCGTTTAATAGACTAAATTTATCTGATGTTTAAGCATTTAGCAAACTATTCTTTGAAAAATACAAAAGACCTGAGGCACAACTAGGAAATTCGAACAGAACCGTGAGGTTTCCTCACATAATGACAGTTTTGGCAATCAAACTGAGATCTTGTAAGCCAGGGACGCACGAGAAAAGTCAATATATAGAATTGCCATATAGTTGATTGCAAACGCTTAACAGGCTGTTTTAGTTAATTTCTAAGCTAAAGGAGGCAATTGAGATGAGCAAAATTCGATAACAGAGAACCTAGTGCAACCTCATTCTTTTCTCCATATTCTTCTCAACTGTCTCCGATTTACCAACTGCTCTATCCTTTGCCTTTCTGCTTTTCATAAACTCAGAGAAGGAAGGAATTGTTGGCAGACTTGCAGCAGCAGTAGAACTTTGCAACGGGGAAACACCAGAAGGATTCTTTGAACTGATGACACTAGGAACTTCTTCATTTACAGCCTCCATTATTACCAGATTGAGTGAAGATGAAGCTGAACCTGAAGGTTCTTGTTTGAGTGGCATATTCTCCGAAGGCGTGTCGTCACTGATTCTGAGTCGATTTGTCAGATCTGTTGAATTGGTTGTTGAGAGCCACCTTATTGTGTTTGCCACTTGGGAAAGATAAAACGACTTCCTGCTCTTTCCATATTTTTTGTAGCACTCGTTCTCAAGGGAAGAAGCTGACTCTTCAAACTCATTCCTGCAAATAAAGTTTGTAGAGAAAAAGACTTCTTTAATCTATCACTATGGCTTGGGTGTTTCTTAGACTGTATATGATGCATCAGACTGAAAATTCAACCAGATGAAGCTCTCTTTTGCAACCTTAAACTAGCAGTGAAATGTACCGAGAAAAACAAAGTGGCAGTGAAATGAATGTGACAAGAATCAGAAATTAGTAATATTACGTTAAAGAGCCAAGACGCTGCTGAGCCAGCCTCAAGGCTTTGAGCAATCTTTGCTTGCTAGCTTCTCTCAACTCTTCCGATACTTCATTCTTGTCAACTTTATTCATCTGCAAGAAGTCATCATAGTATCCCAGTAACCGACCATAAGTGCAACTTCTTTCATAATAGGACAAAATTGCAACAGTGACACATATCAGTTTCCCATTTCATCTGACGTGTAGTTTTTGGTTTGGCAACAGCAGAAAGAGGAACAACATTATTCATGAATCATTATTACTACAGATAACTCCCTTGACCATGAATAGAGGGATACCACGACCTGCCTTTTTATTAAAACCTTTCTCCTGGTTGTAGTTTTCCTCAGCATGCTCCCAGAAATCAATCCTCTCATTTACTCCTGATTTGAATTTTGAGATAGCTGAGTTCTTCGTAACATCAATGCCATCTGCACTAGAATCATCACACATCGGAGAACGCAACAACATCGGCCATAAAAGATTTACACCAACTATTGCTTCAAACATAATTGGACAGGTGTCAGGTAAATACTGCCGTGCAAATATTACCATCAGAGTCAGAAATGTCTTCCTCCGAACAACTTGCTTCATCATCACGATTCCAAAATTCAGAATACTGTCCTTCATCACTCATATCTACCGCGCTGATTGATTAGAAAGTGCATAAGAATTAGCATTGAATCTTATGAATAATGTCACTTCTTGCAACATAAAACTAAAAAGGTTGCCTGCAAGATAGATTACCGAGGAGCTTCAAACAAAACAAAAACCACAAAACAAAACCTGCGCATCAGGATTTTGGAGAAGTGGTCTCTCTGACGAGAAGTACAAGTAACTGTAAGCTCCTCCAACTGCCTGGCAACCTGGTTTGGATGTTTGCACGCATCGCACGAGTTTTTACAGAGGGAAGCAGGTACCTAACTTATGCATTGACACAACTTGTGTTTCAGTTCAAGATTTAGCAAGCTCTAAAAACACCTCAGCACCAGTTACATTATGAAGCACAAAAAGTTACCACAACCTGTTCACCAAAACTCTCAAGAATCTTTCTGCGCCGGCACCCGGATCCTTCACAATATTCAACCATCTGCGCACCGATCAGTACCTAAAATCAGTACGTACCTAGACAATGTAAATATATGAAATCAATAGAAAAGCGATGAATCACCTGATTGAAGTCAGCTAGTAACTTTTTGAACAACCCATCCTGTGAACTGGAGCTTTGCGACTTCTTGCTCTTAGCCTTGCTTAGAATAAACTCCTGAAAGTATGTGTGAGCTCATCAAGAAATTTCATCGAGAAGAATGGCAAATTACAATCAGGAAGCCAGAGACCTGACCATTCTCTTGCGATCATCGATCCCATAATACAATATACTTGTGGAGGGCAATTGATCTCGGCCGGCTCTACCTGATTCTTGATAAAATGCTTCCATCGACTTTGGAATGTTAAAGTGGCAAACAATCCTCACATCCTTTCTATCAATACCCTGCAAGTATAGGCCACATTCAATGATAGACAAGCATCAGAGGAAGAGTCACGCAGGATGATGAAATTAGAGTTAATTTGAGTGCAAAGCCTTGTGTTATCATACCATCCTGAAGGAACATCAGAAGCAGAGTAACTCTGCATGCAGCAGAACAGCTCCAAGTGGAAGACCATAACCAAAACAAATAGTTACATCATATTCTTGATTGATAGAAGATTGTAAATCAAGGACAAGCAAGAAAGCAGCTTAAGAAATATAGCATCATAAAGTGGGAAAGTTGACACGCAACTTACCCCAACAAAATTTATCCATTGCAAACAAATGGTCACGTCAAATGAGCAAAAAATTCAAGAATAATAAAGTTGAGGCTATCAAGGGTTCTCTTACCCAAAAGCCACTGTGGCCACGACAACTTGTATCTTAGAAGAAATCCAATCATCTAAGATGGAACTCCGCAGCTTGTCATTCTGACCCGCGTGGTAAGCTGAGAAGTAAAAACAGAATAGATATCAATGGCCACCTGACAATCTTGTATGACTTAAGAAAGAAAGTACAATTACCAGCACATGATATTCCATTTCCTGAAAGGTAAGCAGACAGGTTATCACACATTGTGCGTTCCAGGCAGTAAATAATTGAGCAAACAGCACCAGACGTTTTGAGTTTCTTCAATAAGTCAGCATATGCATCATCCAGAATATCTTTGTACCGTACTGCACCAAGAGAGACTTGTTCAGATGCAAAAATACTGCAAATGAATTTTAGTAGAGTAGTTTGTAGAAAATGACAACAATAGTTGCAAAAATAAGCTTTACTATGTTGGCTATGAAAAAAGATCCAGAATCCTGATGCCTTTCCATCCATTACAAAATGTCAGTCCTGAGCAATCAGGATTTGCTAATATTACACAATGCCAAGTCTCCAAATTAAAACTTCGGTTGGGACCAGATCTTTTCAGGGAATATTTCTTGCAAAAGTTGACCAGCGAATTTACACAAGAAACTTTGGACCACCAGAAAAAGATTATACATGAAAAAGGAAAAACAAAAGTTCTCCTTAAGTAATTTACAAGCAGCCCATTAAAGTGGCCTTTTTCTTTAGCAACTTAGAGAACCTTAGATCAGGACTTTCTCCTCAACTTCAGAAATCACAGGAATCATGCTAAAGTGATAACTCATTGGAGTTGAGACTGAGGACACAGAGAGAGAACTAGAACAGGGAGGAACGATTCCTTCGTGGCTTTTGATCGTTGAGAATTTCTCTAACCAAAATTATCCTAGAAGATGCAACTCAAACCTAGAATTCCAATACAAAAGGTACATTACATTCAGAGACTAACATGTGCATATGGGATGTGCCTCCACATTATCCCCTTTGTTATTTACCGAAGTGCCTCCACATTATCTAAACTTTAGGAGAATAATTGCAGTTACCATGCCTTGCATCAACAGCCAAGCGACCCCAATATTTGTACGAACAAATAATGATACCCTTATGCAACAGTAAATACATTCATATTCTTGTGCTTTCTCTGCATCAGCCAGCTGAGCCAGAGATTGTCCTAGAGAAAATGGTTATTGCCAGCTAAAGCTACAAGAAATTTTCCTCATGAGCTTTCTCTGACTCCAAAAGCCTGCATCTAATAGCAGACTAAGTTTTATTTCCACGCCAATTAAAGTCCAAAATATCCTTTAACTAACGATTTATGTCTCCACCTCTCTTTAGTTACATGGGACGAACTAGAGGCATAACATATGAAACTTGAAGGACCCACCTTCATAATATATATTTGGACGGTTGAAGGATGATGTTAGAACCAGAGGGCTTTGCATCCCTAAGGATTGCATGACATCATTCTGCACCCTGAAAAGGAAATTGGTTAATTCTGGTAAAAAATATAACGTGAAAAAACTTTATGGAATAGCCATTAGATCTGCTGCTACACAAATGCCGACATCACGCCCCCTTACAGGCTTCTACTACTAAAGAAAATGGAAAATGATTGATGATAACGAAAAATCAACAGTTGAAACTCTGGAAATCAGAATTGGTTGGAGTCAATTTGATAATGAATCAGATTGTCTATGTATCCAAAAACAGAGAGGTACAAGAAGTTCAACAAGAGGTACAAATAGTCTTTAAGGAGTTCAACAATGACTTTCCAGTCAAAAAAGGTCTCGGATCTTTCCAAACATGACCACAACTAAAGATTTGAACAATTCAAAATTTTTTTACAGGATTTTTATTTGGTGTACTTCCAGTGCAAGAGAAAGTTTGTACATTCACTATTGGATGGTTGTCAGGGCTGACATATGGAAGATTTTGATCACAAAACTAACTCCAAACACACCACTCATCCCACGATGAATGTAAATTATTTACACTGGCAGTCGACCTACAATATTTCTTTTAAAATTATCCTGAACCACTAGCAGAACTTTGGAACATGTCAATACCAATCAATGCGCCTATTCTTGTTCAGTCAGATTGGGTTCGCTTCAAAGCATAATTGTCAAAAAGTATCGGCTTCTCAAATAATTCAAGCTTGAGTACAAATAATGTTTGACTATATTTGTCAAGGAAAAAAAAATATGCATGCTATCTTGTTACATTCATTCACAAATATTAATGCTCTCATATGATGTGTGTCTTAATCATGTTGATTGGTTTTGCTTTGGTTATTCCACTTCTATAAATGAGATATGGCTTGAACAGGTGACAACCCATGCCACAGCCTTTCAAGAGATATGTGGCCAAAACATGGAGAGCTATCTACTAGTCAGGTCAGTTTTCTTATATAAGAAATCTGGGTCTCTCCCTGTAGCAAGTAAGGTCAATTCTTCCATAATTCAGTCAAGACCACTTACTTAGGAACAGCAGTTGCTGTCAACGCCAGTATTGGTATGCCAGGCAGGTGATTCCTCAAAGAGGAAAGCTTCCGGTAGCTAGGCCTGTTTGAAACAGATCAAACACAAACGAAGGATGAAAAACTGTTTAAAGTTTAAAACTTTGACGAAAAAAGCCAAATGTGTGTGGGTGATCCAACCATCATAGTCCACAAAGCTAAGAGACAGACATTCAAGTGCTTGCTCACACTCGTATAATGTGCCTCGACAACTGTAAATAAACATGTCTCAATGTGTGTGAAGTGGTTGTCCATGCTTATGTATTTATATCAAGTTTAAAGAAAGCTAAATTAACAACAGGTGTCTCCATTTGGACAGCCTCATGATCACTGCTGTATAAATTCCACTTACATGTTCACATGTACCACCAAAGAGTCCATAAATGTTTCAAAATAATGCTCAAGAAAGTAACTCATACTGCTATCTAGGAAATTACGCCTATTTTTAACACCAAAGAAAATTTACTTCTTATAAGATGCATAAGATTTGTGTGGCATCCCAAAGCTTTTTATGCATGCTTATTCACTTATTCACTAGGACTATCAATAAACAACAACTAAAATCAATAAGAAAGAAATTGGCTTTTATGCCTCCAATAAAAGATTTTTCAGTTAAGATTCTTACAGAATCTCTGCAGCTTGACCAATTTTGTCAAAAAAAGCAAAACCATCTAGTTGATAGATTAAGATGTCTCCCTATTAGCATCACTAGGGATACCGCACCAATTAAGAACAGGAGCATCAACAGGCATGAGTCAAAGTTGTATAATAACGTCCTAGATATGCACAGTAGGACACTCTGAAATAGAACAAAACCAACAGTGGGGAGATATAAATGAAATGAACAGTCAAAGACATCCAAAGCAGGAGCAACAAACATATCAATATGTTGATTTTTGAATGTGGTGCAATTATAAACTGCAAGAAATAAATAAAATAGCTCTTTCAGTTCAAAAGACATAAACCATATTTGTTGCTCGAAACAAATAAATAAGCTACCTGAAATCATGGCCCCATGTTGAGATGCAATGCGCCTGAAATACCAAGAAGAAGATGAGAAAATCATTTTTAGGGATCGAGATTCTTGCATTGGAACACAAGACACGCCAACTGTCCTTGTGAATAGTCTACACAAAATTCACACCTCGTCAATGGCGATCAGATTAAGCAACCCTCTAGAGTGAATTTTCATCAGCTTTGACATAAACCCTGGTGTGGCAATCAATTCCGGAGTCACGTATAGCAGCCTCAAGGAAGGTTTCCCAGACTCAAGGTCTTCATATATCTGAAAGCAAAAAGTAAAACTTAAGAGGCCTTGTTAATTGCTTTTTAAGCATAATGTGCATATTAAACAGATTAATGTTAGGACTCTCGAGCTCCACAAATCCTCAAGCATGATTATATCTCTCATTACCGATGCAAGACTCGAGATTCACCTTATTCTTAGTTTGAGTCGTTTGGGTAGAGGAGAGAAATTCGGCAGAAATTCCTTTCTCCTTCAATGCACTTACTTGGTTTTCCTAACCAAAGAAAATTTGGTTGTATACACTCGAGAATTTTTACAAAGATCACAATAGTAACTATTAACGATAAGCTACCTCTCATGCTTACCATCAAAGCTGTGAACAAATTGAAGATCACCAATTAACACACATCAGTCTGATCATCCTGTGCCAATAAAAACTCAACCAAAATCCCATGCAGATAAAAAGAACCACTTAGGAACTTCATTTGTTATGAGGGCAAGAGAGCATTCACCTATCAAAGGACACGCAACAAGCACAATCCCCGTTTTGGCCAGTGCAGGTATCTGGTAACACATTGACTTCCCTCCTCCGGTTGGCATCAGACAGAAACAATCCCTTCCTTCACTCACCCACAAGGCGAACATAAAATCAGCAAAAACCCAATTGACAACACTTTCCCATTGTTCTCTTTTACAAAAAAAAAAAAAAAACCATCGGCATTCGTCGGTTTGCCATGGTTTTATCAAGAAAACGAAAGTACATTAATTGATTATCAGAAAAGAATCAAGGGTTATGCATGTTGTCATGTGTTTGACCTGACAGGACAGCTTCAATGGCCTCTAGCTGCTTGCCTCTGAACTGGGCATGCCCAAAATGCCACCGCAGGAGCTTCACCAGAGCTTCTCTGCCCCATTTCTGATTCTTGCCCTCGCCGATGCTCGCGCTTTGCAATGGTAATGGCGACTTCTTCATCTGCAAGTTTTTTCACTTGATCAAGGAAACCCCAATGCCAAAAAAATTCCAACTTTGATGAGATTGGCTAAGGTTTGCTTGATCTTCTTGGAGACGGACCGGCTTTGGTGGGTCGCCGTCGTTCTAGCAATGTAGCAATAAGTCGTGAGAGCGAGCTTAATTAACATTATGGGATTATGACACAAATTATCCCATAATTTTGGCTAAATGTGTAATATGATCCATGAACGTTAAATTTATTTAATATGATTTGGTCCCTGAACTTTAGTCTAATGTGCAATATTATCCATGAAATTTTAATTTATTTAATGTGATTCCTAAACTTTAGGTACATGTTCCATTTAGTCCTTAAACTGTATAAAAATGTCAATGTCGTCCTCCTATTAATTCAAGTTTAGGGATCATATTGAATATTTTCATATAGTCCAGGGACTAAATTGAACATATACAAACAATTTATGGATCACATTGAACAAATTAAAAGTTGAGGGATGACATTGCATATTAGGCTAAAGTTCAGGTATCACATTAAATAAATTTACAGTTTAGGAATCACATTGCATATTTAGCCAAAGTTCAGGGACCGTTTGTGTTTTTTACCCTAAAGTGATTTATGTTAGTTTTCAAGTTAGTGGATAAACTGCCTAGGCAAAAAAAAGAAAAAAAAGGTTGGCCAAAAAAAAAAAAGTTGCTGGATAAGCTTTTATTTCATGTCGTGCATATATGTACCAAATTGTTAATTATGAATACAAGATCAAGTAGTACATATTTATGATATGATATGGACCATAATCACAAGATGTTCTGCAATTAATTTAAAAGCACGTCGAAAGATCGGCATTATCTCTGGATAAAAGTGATTACCACGAAAATGTTTTGTCGAGAATAAGTTATAGATCCAATTATGATCGTGTATTATACAAAAATTTACCAAAAGGCTGTTGATATAGCAATATAATTTTGTTAATACTTGTCACTTGGTGAGATACTGTAGGCATATCGAAAGTATTACAATAGGAACGAATACCCACAAAACACCATTTACTTCGTTGGCGACATTTTGCTTCAAAACTTTTGCATTCTATTGGTAAGATCAATCTCATGTGTACATCCATGTAAATATACTAGGGTCGTAGCATAGAGTAATCATAAGAATTGTCTCTAATGCCTCCTCATCCGCTTATAAGAAGAGAAAGATAGGGTGCATACTTCTCCTTTTTGCTTAGATGCCTATTCCGCATAACCGTACCTTTTAATTTATAAAAAGATTCATTTTTGAAAAAGCATTAATGTCTGTGTCGCTCCCTACAATTATGTAAAAAAAAACGGTTTCTCCCTTAATTAGAAATATATGATAGAAAAGATTGCCATCTTTGGATAGAGGCATAATCATTATTTCCTATGTTTCTCTCTCTATTTATTTGTCTTTGGAAAGATGAGTTTTTCCACTCATCTATTATTGACACCTATTTTTAATTGTCCAAAATTAATTATGCAAATTTTAGGGGTTAATGTCCTTAATTCCTAAATCAAAAAAATCTGGCGGGTCGCGACATCTATTCAGTTCGTTTTTTCCCATTAATATTTTAATTTTTTTCCCTTCTCCTACTTTTTTTACCATTTAAAGAAGGGAAAATGCGATGGAGGGTTGTAAAGTCTTTTTAATTTCCTGCTGGGGTCGTCGAACGGTCATTCTTGGGGCCCTCTTTTGATATTTCATGGGCCTAACAATGGACTTGACCTTTCAAATCGGGCCCGGCCCGGCCCGGCAAGGCCCAATCAAGCCGGTACCCAGGCATGGCCGAGATGGACGTTTTTCTCTGCATGGACTTTTAAGACAAAACTATTAGCCATAAAATCAATGGGAAAAAACAAGGCATAATTAACCACATAATATGGGAAAATATTCCACAAGTTCAATATGACAAGGAACGAGTACGCATATGAACACACTCTCATCATTAGAAGACAATAGGATTATTTTAAAGTTTTTAATCTTTGAGTGTGAAAACGAAACTGAAACAATCCAGTGCTCTGTTTTGGGAAGGGAGGAGAGAATAAGAAGGAAATGAATAAGATTAATTCCTAAACAAAAATTTAGGCGTCAACCGCCTCATTTTATTATTATTTTTCACTATGTGGTAATATTATTCTCTTTTTCGCTATATATTTCCCATTTGGATTTCGAGGTCCCCTTTCCTAAATTGTACCGGTATTGGGTTTTTAAAGTAAAAGTAAATGAAAACAACATGGCACAGAATGATAATCGGGACCATCAATGTCTCGAGGAGTATGCCAACCATTCCGGCATACATAGTCCAAGATAGAGGCCAAGATGAATGTTTTTCTCCGCATAAAGTTTTAAGAAAAAAACTATTAGCCATAAAATCAAGGGGAAAAAAATCAAGGCATAGTTATCCATCTAAAATGGGCAAACATTTCACAAGTTCAATATCTTTTATCTCGTGCAATGCACGTGCATCATATGTACAATGGATGTGCAACTTACGTGCAATTGATGCGCAACTGACGTGCAAAGTACATACATGAACACACTCTTATTATTAGAAGACGATGGGATTATTTTAATGGTTTTAATTTTTGAGTGTGGAAATGAATCCAAAACAATCCAGTGCTTTGTTTGGGAAGCGAGGAGAGAATAAGATGAAAATGAATAAGATTAATTCATCAACAAAAATTCAGGCGTCAACCGCCTCATATTATTATTATTTTTTCACTATGTGGTAATATTTTTCTCTTTTTCACTATATATTTACCATTTCGATTTCGATGTCCCCTTTCCTGAATTGTACCGGTATCGGGTTTTTACAGTAAAAAAAAATAAAAATACCACAAAATGATAACCATGACTAGAGGTATGAAACCCATATTTAATGATTTGGGTCATATATGAGTTAGTCAAGTTTTAATAAATGGGTTGTTAATGGGTTTGAATTCTAAGCCTTTCTTATATGTGGGTTTAAATGGGTCTATAACAAACCCATTTACAACCCACCCACTAGGCCCACACACACTCTTTCCCTCTTCATAAAAATATTTTCAAAAAAACCAAATTTATTTTTATTTTTTCTCTTTTTCTTTTATTTTTATTTTTACCTTTTCTTTTATTTTTCTTTTTTCTTTATTTTCGGCCAGTGGCCGGCCACAGTGACAGCCGATGACCGGCCACAGGGCAAGGATGAGCTCGCTGGAGGCTAGCGAGGACGAGCTTGCCCGAGGTCAGCGAGCTCAAGCTCGCCGATTGGGCAAGGCCTCAACGGCCTTAGGTGACACTCCAGCCTCGCCGATTTGGCGAGCCTTGAGTAGCTTGTCCTCGCCCTGTGGCCGGTTGTTGGCCGTCACTGTGGCTAGCCAAAGGCCAAAAATAATGGAAAAACAAAAAAACAAAAAAGAAAAAGAATTAAAAATTCTATTTTTAAAAAAAATTATTAAAATTATTAAAATGAGTGCACAAAGTAAAATCAAATTAGATTTTATATACGAAACGTCCAAAAATATTTTCCAGTTTATTTTCAGGTTTCAGCAAAACACTGGAACATTTTGTTATTTTCTTGAAAAATGACTTCATGAAAAACATTTTCTAGAAATGTCGCATTTTTCGTGAAACAAATGGAGCCTCAATTTTTAAAAAAGATTATGAAAATTGTCTACTAGCTTTGTATTGCATGAAAATGTTTTAGCAGTATAATTTTTTTAAAAAATCATAAGAAACAAATTTGCCTAGATTGGGTTAAATATAGAAGGGTTTTAGCAATATGGGTTGAGTATGGATCAGGTCGGGATATTTATATTACAATAGATGTGTCATAAACGGATTAATGGCTCAATTTGGATCGGACCATTTATAATCCGATCCAAACCCGATCCGATCCACCCGTTTAACAGGTCTAACTAGGACCATCAAAGTCTCGAGGAGTATGCTACCCATTTCGGCATAGATAGTCCAAGATGGACGTTTTTCGCTGCATATTTAATCGTTTGTTGACAAGCAAGGGAGAGAGAAGAGAGGCCAGAGCGAGCATTGGACTGCCCAGCCCTATTTGATCGTCTGTTGACAGTGAATTTTGACTTGGAATGTCGCTTAGAGTTTCACACCAGAGAACAATCCCTCTCCTCTGTTAATATGTTCATATCCTCTAGAGATGTTAGCTAAGTGAAGATGGCTACATTCTTCTTCTTGGTCATGCTTTCTCACGCCGCCGCCGCCGCAAATAGTTCCAGGGTCCATACCATGGTGCTAAACATTGGTAGTAACGACACCCGTTTTGGCAACATTCTACCTATGCCGGAATGCGTGGCCCTTATTGTGGCGACATTCATGGTCCGGTTTTGATTGTTATTTTGGGCATTCTTTTTGTCCTGTACAAATTGTGTAAGAACCCAATTCCGATGAGAGTCAAGAAAAGGGGACTGGAGGTCCAAATAGGAAATGTGTAGAGAATGAAAAGAATAATATTACTAAATTGACGCATGAATATTTCTATTAATGAAGAAGTCATGGTATTTTTATTTGTAAGAAATTTTAGTAAAAGTCTATTATATTTGTCATGATTTTTATTATTAAATTAGTCATGATTTGATTTTTATTTGTCACGCTGTGGCTTTGCCATTAAACAAACCTCAGTGCCTTTTCAACTACGATGCATATGACAGATATGAGCAATGTTAAACCATTAATAAGCGCGTGTTCGTACACGTGAGTTACACGTCCGTTGCACCTATAATGCACATGTGTTACATGTCTATTGCACGTATGTTGCACATGCGTTGTACAGGATTAAATATATTGAATTTATTAGTCATTCCCTCGACGACAAGCACAAAAAATTCAATGACAAATAATGGAAAATTTAATTCATTAATCAGAAGATTGATCAGGGATTGATAGATTTCGGAAATCCCAATCTCTAAAATCAAGAAATTGTCAGTTTCAAGAATCGAGATATTGCAAACTTTCGGATCGCATTGGGAAATCACACATTCAAAAGTACGAGCAAAGTACGGTGAGAAAAGAAAATTGGCATGGGCATCCATGGGATGGGATGGGGAGTTGGATTAAGTGTTGACAAGCAAGGGAGAGAGAAGAGAGGCCAGAGCGAGCAATGG